GTCGTCGTCGCACAATGCACGTAGGAAAAGTTAAGCATTCTTTGCAAACTTTGTAGGCCATGAGGTGGACTCCTCCGCAAAGCTTGCATCTTGGCGTACAGCAATGTTTCTTTTCGGGGTTCGCACACTACATCCCTGGCAGATAATGTCTCCAGGGTTCGGGCAAATGCCCACTTGATAACCCAACCGGCCGCAGGCGTAGCAAATATGTATTTGCCTGTGGTATACTTTAGATTGAAGTAGCACCAATCCGTATCACACGAAATTAGGCACGCGATGTAAATCTAAGTCCACAATCACTTCGGTAGTACTTGCAATGTGCTTGGCAGCCAGGGCTAGTGGATTTCCTTCGTTGAACATTTTCCCATCAATGTCCGCCGAATCGTCTTGCACGGGAATCCGACGCCTTTGCATGTAGAATGCCATGCCACTTCGTAGGCACTAACTTCATTGGTCTTGTCAGTGATGCGAATTTGTCTAACCCGCACGTAGCAATTAGCATTTTCTCTGTTTGGTTGTTCAAGACTAAGGTATTTATTTCATTTATTTCTTTTTACATAGTGCAGACCAATTCAGGCTATCGCAGGACTAGGGCTTTTCAACAGGAGAATACAAACAGCAAGGCAATGCAACACTGGAATTGAGAACACAAAACAAAAATAAAAACAGTAATTACACTCTTAACAAACAAAGCATAATTCCATATATTCCTTCAAGAGTTCGTCTAAGGGCAATGATATGGTTGACCCATGCAAACTATTCCATTCTGTTCATTATTGGGCATTTCCTGTTCAATATTGTGTCTGTTTTCTGCTCAACTTCGGTTCATTATTGGGGCAGAGCATGTCTGCGTGCTGTTCTGTTGGGCTGATACTTGCCGAAGTAGAAATGGCTTCAGTGATTGTCGTTCGGCCAACCGTAGCAATATTAAGCCCCCTCTGGGTCTAAACGATGATGCGGATGTCGTCCTTTGGTAGTTGCGGTGCGGCATTCGGTTTGCTCGAATTATTTTGTTCTTCGAATTTTCTCTGTCGTGGGGCTTGTGCTCGTCGCTTTTCAAAGCTGTATATGACGGCGCAGGTTTGTAGCCTTCATTTTGGGTTAGTGCTCGGCGAGACGAGGCGGTCTGCCAGCCTTGGTCTGGTGTGATTTCTTTCGGGCCAATGTCTTCCCCGGTCACTTGGTATTACATCGCTCAGCGAAATGGTGCATCTGCGGTGCGCGCGAGCGAGCACGCGTCACGTCAGACCAAAGAAGGCCCGCGTCTGGGCTATAGCTGTCGGCGGGCAAATGACGATGGAGGTGGTGCAATAAAACTCAAGAAACAAGCAGTCAATGTGCGCAAAGTGTGTCTCCATATTCCCTGTGTCCTCAGGATGTTGTTGCACCAACAATACGTTGAAGTCACAAAGAAGCGTCCCGAAAACGTTGAATAAAGCAGGAGCCGTATACGCGTCAGATGGTTTCGTGACGTTAGACCCCAAATATCAATCAATCTTCAAAATGCAGCCAGAGGGAAAAAATAATTCAACTACGACAGATTCAAGACTTATCACTACATGCTTATTAATTCCCAAGATGCAATGGTAGGCTACATGTACAGCAAAAACTCGTAAATCCGCATTTTACAAGTCTGGGAAAAACGTCTAGATTACCTGAATACCCAGTTATCAAAAGTATTAAGAAAACATTAAACAGTCTATTACAACAACATAGTTTCAGTTTCTTGATGGATGCGTAAATGCTGCACTTGTTCTGCATAATAAACAAAATACCTGCAATTTTCGTCACAGCTTGAGGACCTCCCTCTTGTAACTAATCTGACCCGCACTAACACGAAATCAATCCAGGACGTCGTTATACTGGTGTTCTCATACGGTTCACGCTGATGATGTGGCGGATGTAGACTGCGTCTTCTCGTTTTGATTGGACTCGAACACAGCATTCGCTCATTTGCGTCGCACATTTGCGGCAGTTCACTCTCGACGTGCTTCTACAATCAGCTGAATTAACCAACCTGCAGCCAAATATGAACAAATTGAAACGTTTGATGGCATTGAAGGATACATAGCCTTTCCGGAACTTGATATAGCATTCGAGTAATCAGACTTTTCATATTAACGGACCTATAACTCAAAAGCTTTTTCTGTATTACAATTGGCGCATGAGAGTTTAATTGTCGAGTCAATTCTAAAATCACTATATATATATATATATATATATATATTGTACGTACGTTCTGTTACACAAGTGATTTTCTGCTGCCCTGGTCAAGGCTTACAATAGCCCACGGTAATGGTTTTTTTTATGCTACATTCTTTCTCTGTCACTTTTAACCCTCTTAGCTTTCAACATTACCCCTCTCCGCTGTTCGTAAGATAGGGCAGTATAATGCTGGATTTTTCCTTCTTTCATGCTCTCCTGCCTCCCACCTCTGGTCTATTCCTCGATGTGTTCAGAAAATGTTCTTCAAAATGTTTTCGAAATGGAACATTTCCTTATTGTCACAACGCCTGAGAAACACAGACATTTGCTGATTTGACTGGCATATTACTATGATAAAAATATACAGTGTGAACTTATGGACCATTTGTTACACAGTATTTGTGCGAAAAGTATTATTTGAATAATTCAGAGCAGTCTGGTTTAGCAGAAACGGCCAACGAACTAAAGCTCTTCATAGACCTCAAAAAGAACTCAGTGTCCCTCAGGAATTCACATAGGCCGACTGTAAGACAAAAGCCCCCCCCCCCACCCCCGCCTGTTTTTTTTATCTCAGTCGATCTATTGATTTGCATGCCCCACTGCCCTTCAGAAGCTTTCTGCATTCAAGCTGGTTTTGTATTACCTTTGCGATTTGATCACTTCTATAGAAGCTATGGGACTGTATAACGTAACGCGATGTACAGTAACGTCGTGTCGAGTCATAATGAGTTCAGAACATTTTGTGATATATGACGTCGTCGTCACGTTCCGAGGTGTTGTCATCTTAAGATGACTTTTGCATCAGCCGTCTCTGACACCGTGGGACGGCAACGCCAACGGTCAAATTTTGCAATCGATGAGGCATCTGAGGCATTAGCCACAAAAGATAGCTTTGACCAAGCACTTTCCTTGAAATTACACATGTGTTGACGCAATCAATCACACTTTGCACGAGGAGTTGGAATAATGAAAATAACACAAATTAAGTCATTTGTTACTTGTTTTTAAGAACAGGTTACACTGATACTATCGAGGATTTGTACAATAACATTAGTTTGTAAACTTCGGCATATTAGAATGATGTAAACTTTTGACCTCTTCAAAATATTCATGAACATTGCAACACTTTCCCGTAAGTTTCATTCTTATTACGTTCATTCACTTTAAGTTACATAAATTTTGATATTTTGTTAATTTTTTACGAGCTAAAGTCATGATATGAATATTCGGCGGGACGGAAGGCTTACTCTTGGTTAGTTTTTACCACTCGGACTTTTTTTCCTGCACCTATAGGGGTCATTCTTTTATTCTGTGAATTTTAATTATATTGATATTTGTGTCGAAGTCATGTGTCAGTTATTTCGGTTCCCACCAAGTGTTCCTACCTAACGCAGCCATAAACTGCGGTATCTTTCATTGCCTCTAGTCCACCTCACAGTCATGTAAGAGTGCTCCGTCCTCCACAGTACGATTTAACGTCCTTGAACTGAAAATTTATGTTCCGCATCCATGGGACAAGCTGTACCACCCTTGGCCACAAAAACTGATGTGTCCCTCATACATGGTAAAGTCCCTATAAAAAAAAACACGAGAGTATACGGTCATTCGTGTCAGTCTGGACCACGCGAGAGATCGTTGAGGCCTTTTTCATACGTGTGTGTGGTGACGTATGTGTGGCGAGGCCATCGTTGAACTTATACAAACTACAGATAGATATCGAACCGCCAACCTGTAATTTAAACTGCGTGTCTTTGCCTTTCCTTTATATGTGTGCTTTTCTGAAAATAAACTTCAGTATTAAGTCTGCACCTGCCTGTGCTCTCTTCCTTCTTCTACATTTTTTGCACAAAGCGCGCTCCACAAAACTAGCGCCCTTGGGCTAAAATGCCTTTGTGTTCTCCACTACGGCACATATTAACGACTTTGAGCTGAAAGTTTTGTGTTCCCCCATTCATGGGAAAACTAGCAGTCACGGGCTAAAATAAGCTCTTGTGTTCTATCTATCTAAAGGACAAACTAGTGCCCTTGGGCTAAAGTGTTCTTGTGTTCTCCCATTGTGGCAATAAGCAGTGACCTTGGGATTACAAATTCTCGTACATATCTGTCTTTTTAACGTTATGTCGAAGTGAAAACGAGCAGATAGCTTCGTATAATTAGACCAAAGGACAAGGGTATTATGCATCAGCTTGCGATACCACCATCAAATTAACTACTCTAATTCATTATATTGCAAAATATTCACTCTGTGTCGGTGTGTTGTTCATCGTCTGGCTATCGATGCAGATAAAAGTCGCTCAGAAAACGTCAAGTAGATGTAGCGATTCGCTTACAGAGACTACCACGTTGGCAAGCGTCCGAGCCGACTGGAAAATACGGCACACTTTTTATTAACTTTTTGTGCTTCCTTCGGCTGATTTCTGATTCTCTTATTTTGGTATACTTTCCGCAAAGAAAGGATGTCGAATAACGTCTTGATTCGCCAAAGCATTTTTTACGTTCTTTTATGTGTTTCTTTGTTTTCTCTTCGTTCTGACGGCTCCCGTTCTATTCATTGCCATGGGCACCTTTAACAGGTTGCCGGTGACGCTCCCCTTTCCCCTAATGTTTACGTACGCGCCGGCGTACTTTCCTTCCCTTTCCCAGTCATGTTTATTTTCAGCAAATGGAGTTGCACAACAAGCTCACGCGTTTGTCCAGCGATTCGCGTCACTCGCCGGGCCAAGCCACCGGGGCAGCCGGGTGACGCTCGCTCTGAGCGACTCTCATTCTATGAGTTGATCAGCATACCTAAAGCGGAGGGACGGCGTAGATGATCACCGACTCTTCACAGGCCAAATCGGGCGAGGGTGAAGCCGTAGAGTCGCTTCGCGTGGTCAGGCGAGGAACACATCTCGGCCAGAGCAACTCCACAATGAACAACGGCTGCGCACCTGCGCTGTCTTAACTCGCGAGGAGGTATTAATTTTGAAAGTCCATTCGCTTTCACTTTGTAACAAAATTTTGATATCTGTGAAAAGGCTGCAAGCGCTGCCTTTAAGTATGACCCAATCTTGGGTACCTGAAATGTTCACCCAAAAGGCTCTAGCATCGCTATCCCTCCTTTTGCTAGTGTGCATACCACTAGTTTGGTGCTACGATGAAGGCGACACCACCACGACTACGACACCAAAACCAGATGAAGGCGTCGTAGGAAAGTTGCAGGCGCTCATTGCCAGCATGATGGACAAGATATCCCCTGACCTAACGCGAAAGTTGCTAACGGCGGAAGTCTCATCTACGTGCAGCATTGGACTCCTCAAACTCGTCGGTGCAATTCGAAGGACCGAACCATGGGCTCTAAGACGTGAGTTGCTTTTTGTGTTCTGAAATGGTGTTGGCGGAAACGCAAATGTTTTTGGTGTGTTAAACAATCTCAGAAGCAAATACTATCTCTTAATGACTAATACTCCAGGGATATTACAGCCTTTTTTAAACGCTGTAATATCCTGCTCTTCTTGACGCTCTAAAAAGAATATTTACTGTTGTAGAATATTTACTGCTGACGCAATTTTATTAGGGCGCCGGGTGAGATGCGATTTGTCGTTTAATGAAAATGGAACCTATGACTATTCACAGTCGTGTCTATTCTCCTAAGAAGCTGTAATTTTAAAATTTCGAGTATTCAGCCAGTAACTTTTGTATTTTCACTTTCTTGTGATATTTTTGTTTACTTCTCAAAGAGTACTACAAACTGTCATTGCGAATATTGTGACACATTTTTAGCTTCTATTCGAATGATAATGAATTGGATGTCGAATTCCACGAGTTACCTTACTTATAAACTATACTCATAAACTTTACTTGTAAACATTACTTATAAATTTTATTTACTCGCTCAAGCTTCCTTCTAAAAAAAATGGGTAGATGAATCCCTCGGCCTGGCAAAAGCAGGTTTTCTTCGTGACCAATGATCTTGTTCAAATTCTGCATTCGCGAACAAACAATGTGAAAGGCTAACTGCGCCGCTAATATTGTGGTACCATCCTCATATGGCGTACAAAGGAGCCTACTAGGGAGAAACTATTTGGGGTTGACTGCATATGTGCCTCTTTTGAAGCATTAAGCTTTTGTTATGGTGAAACAAGTTGCTCGAAGCATGTTTTTTTTATATTGCCAGCATATTATGGTCACCTATAGTATAAGCCAGTATGTTTGACCGGCTTCCTAAAGCCGTGACGTAAGCTCTAATACTAGGCTGACGTTGCGTTATTCTCATACGACCCCATCAGACCCACACCTGCATGGGTCAAGATGAATACATGAGTTCAGTAAGAATAAGCAATTAGGACGTAGAGGTAAAATTAGATAGGTTCCAAAGTCGGTGATTGCAGATACGGTGGCGCATTCATGTGCACTAGACCATATGAAAAGAAAAACCGAACATACAGTACAGAGCTCAGTGACATATTGAGACGAATAGGGGGGTAAGTCGGCTACACCACTTCCCTGTGAAGACACAGATTCAGAAACTAATCATATGCAATACATGTGTGAGATTCGAAATGCTTTCACTAGGAAGCTACTAGTGACAAAATAAAGCAGCGCAATTTCTACGGGAGAAAAGTTTGAGAATTCATTCGCAGGAGTGTATTCTGATAGCTTTTACTTCATAGTGGTTTGGTAAGGCCTCTCATTCACAATCTGTTCAATTAACGGCAATAAATGTTCAGAAAATGACGCAGCGTTCCTGCCCCAATTGCCTAAAATGACTTCAAGTCCAAAGCCACGTGGTTGGGCTGTACTATCGCACACTTTAAGTTGGCTTACACAGTTCACCAATATACCTTTATTTATTTGCCATAGTACCAACAGCACCCAAGGGCATTACAGTGGGGGGGGGGGGGGGTAGTGAATGCAGGAACAGCGCAACCTAGAAGTACTTACTTCGCAACTGCGGAAGCGAACAAAAACAAGGACAGAAAAGAGCGGGGGGGGGGGGGGGAGGAAGAATACAAAATTTCAACACTGAATACAGATACTCACACTTCTGCATAACAAAAATAATGCAATTCATTGTCAGCTATATGTAGCGGCATGTGGGACTAGACAATACAAAGCACCTTCGTTAATTTCAACGTCTAATTTTCACAAATTAGATAAGTACTAACTTGTTCTCATTGATTATCATTTTTTAATGAATCTTCACTGGTTAACGTTCTATAACTACCACTAATTTATCATGAGTAATTATTTAACCACCCACTTTATTGATTTGATTATCATTACACTTGCGCACATTCATGCTTTCACTCATTTTCGCACGACTTTTGCTCCACTAGGCGTAAGTCACTCGAGTCATGTACAGCCGTCTTTTTTGTATATTTATTTTTTAAAAAGCTTTTGCAGTCGAGCTAGTGCTGATTCACGGAAGTTTTGAAAGACGTCTGTTGCTGCGCCAGGAGATCGTTATTTTTAGTTTCTCCTTTATCGCTGCTATGTATTCGCAACTTTCACGACCAGGTGGTGTGACTGTACATCCAACATGGTGGTCATTGAGATTGTCACCCTGAAAGAGACGGTACCGGAAAGTACACTTTTGGCGAAGAGTGCGATTCTTCGCGCTTCAGTGGTACTTCGATTTATGTTTTTGAGAAAGTAGGGGAGCGCCAACATACTACAATGCCGGGTAGCCCATTGTGTTGATAAATAAGCGGAAAATTGTAGATAAAGCACACACGTACGCTCTTCCCATATCTGGTTGTGTGTAATTGCGCGCAACGCCTGGTGTCATGATGAACAAGCATTATAATGGGAGTCTCAGTACAAATTTTATAGTAATGTCAGAAACGTTTTCGGAGATGCACTTTATCTTACAGCTTTCCTAGCATTGCATTCTGCGTGAAGCTTGATCAGCTCACCTAAAAGCACGAAGTAGAATTAGCAGACGAAAATAAAAATTATTGCTTTTTCAATACAGAAGCAGGTGCCCCAATTGAGGCATGCCATATTAACGGTATTATGATTTTAGGTTGCTTTTTACACTAAAAAGAACAATATAATATCAACGTAATCAATTCGGCAAGCAGCGAACGAAACCAGTGGAAATATGCAATTCTCACGTTTAAGAAATGACATTCGATGCGTTACTATTGTATGTTTTGGTGTTTGAGAAGTACAAAAGATAGCATGGTGCGGGACATAAATGAAAAAAAACGCCATTTGCAAGTAAGACCAGGCACAAGTTGCTGCTGATTTCGAAGTCATCGAGGCACTTTGCAAATGCTTTATATGTGTAGTGATGCGACGAACGTTTTGACACCAGTCCTTCATTCTATCCTAAAAGTGGAATGCATTCCTTATACAGTTCTGGTACTGTTTGCCCGGTGACCGTGTCGAGCAGACAAACTAAGCGCAAAAACTGCAAACCTGGAAGTTGCTGTACTCTTACACAAAATGGGTGCTCCATGCAATCACGGGCTTTGGTTATTTGCCTGCTAAATTTAATCCTCTTAACTACTCCCTACTTTTTCGGGCGCTAATTTGAACGGGAGGCTTATTTTCCCTTACGGTGTATAAGGCTGTGAGCATCGAGGCTCGCAGCGAAATCAGTTAGCTTTTAAGGGTGAAGCTGCTTTTAGTCTAACCTTGTCACGCGTCACGCGTAACCGGCAGTGTCTCCCGAACAGTCTCATTTCTCTTCTTGTCTCATTTCCTAGATGGCGTTACTTTGTCGCTACTCTCTGATTGGCTGCCGCGAGTTTTGCCTGAGTTCGCGGGGAACGAGTGCCTCTCTCAGTCTCTGGATAGTCACCGTACATGGCGGATCATTGGTGGGGCATGGACGAAGCAGAGCGGCGGGCGCGTTGAAGACGCTAGCGTTCGGCTTTCTTGGCGCGCGTCTCGTCGGCGTTATGCGCGCCATGTGCATTCTCGAACGTGATCGGACGCATGGACGCATGCACAGATGAACGGAAACACGAACGGACACACGGACCGATGGCCGGACAGACACACGCACAGACGGACAGACACACAGGCGGATACTAAGACGGACGGATGGACTACACAAATACAGACAGGTATATAAACGTATAGATGCACAGACAGACATAAAGACAGGCAGACCGACAGGCAGCCGGACGAATGGACGCATGGATGGTACAACACACAGACGGATGCACGGATGAACAGAAGCACGGATGGACGCACGGACGCTTTGCCCTGCTCATTATTATTCACTCCATGAAGATGCTGTGATTTTTTCCTTGATCTTTCTACTTTATCTTTAACTTGAGAATGTCGAAGGGTTACGGTAATATTGAGGCCGTGTACAGCGTTGCGAAACGACCACGAACGCAGGAAAACAAGCAGCAACATATGCTGCTTGCAGCAGGCCCAAAACTTCAATCATCTCAACAGATCTTCTGGCTGCCACCACTCAGCGGCGTCACGGTACCTGGAAGTTGCGAATAGCCTTCGAAAAGACGAAGTGAGCGTCACGTGAATTACGTTTTTTTATTCACGTGAACGCTACCAACTTGAACGCGTGCCTCGTGGGTGGTTAAGTGTCTTTATAGGCCCATCTCCTCAAAGCCACTTGCTTCACGCTAACACCGCAAAGACGAAGTGATGGCACAGCCCACACAGGAGGAGCCATGAGGTGCGTGGTTGGACTTTTCTGCCCCACCTAAATGCTCTTGACGACAACAAATCATCCAGGGTGGTTTATAACACGGGAATGAACTCAACAAAGCAAGTGTCCACAGGCAACGCGGGATCTTGGGGAAGAGCACTCCGTCTTGGCATAGAGGTACTGTATAGAGTTGCGCCTATGGAGCAATTCTATCTGGGACCACTGTTTCGCTAAAACACTTCGTACTATTTCGGCCCTTCAACAACTTAGAAAGATTACAGTGCACACAGACGTACATAAAGTGAACGAGAAACAAGACATCACCGATGTGTCTAGTCCTTTCTTTATTCTCTCCCCGTCTGGGTGTGCTTTACGATATTGACTAGCCCACCAAGTCATCCTTTCAATCAAGCGACATGCCCTTTCACCGACACGTCCTTTCAAGCGTACATGCAAATGAAGCACCCTGACAGACAGTAAATGAAAACTATATTTCACACAAGCAACTTTGTTGAAGGCAGTTGTGGGGAACGATGCGGTAAAATAAATAGATTCAGAGGCTACCTAGATAACCTCTGAATCTTCTTCTAAAACTTAGATTATAATAATTTCGAATAATAAAAATAAAAAGGTTTAATATAAAAACGAAATCACTAACTAAAATAAATACTAACCTTTTACTAGTCTCGAAAAAGCACTAACATCTTAATGAGTAAAGACAGTTAAGTGAAGGTCAGTGAAATTCACTGTCTCCGGATCTAGTAAATATTATACTAGCGACGACTGCCGGTTTATTTCTAAGCTGTTAGTAACCGTTACTAGCTATTTAGTAACCAAACTAATGACTGCAATTAGCTAAGATGTGATTTCTGCCTATTTTGTTTATAGGTCGTGCTTCTGTTGCCATATGAAGTTGATTCTGTTACAATAGTTTATATCAGATAAAAAAACGAAAAGGACCTTCTCTGTTACACCAAATAATAAAGGCTTATTACCTCAGCCAATTTACATTGCAAGTACACAACTCATCGACGTCCATAGAGGCGTGAACGGACCACAAGCGAGAACACACAACGCACACATGGAATATAAGGGTTACTACTAACGTGCCAACTAATTTAACAGTGACTTGACGGTTATACATGCCCCCAATCAGGATAGCACAATTTGTAATGGTTGGTTGCCATATACCTTATAAGCATAATCAATGCTTTATACCCCTAAATATTTCCCTACTGTATGCATATATGTTTACAATCACGCAGCACATGGCTGTAGTTCCAACATAATCAAGAAAATAAAAGTATCCCGAATTTAGCCTAATATTTTAATACATTAGGCATAATATAAAATATATACATCTGCACAGCATATGAAAACAGCTGGTTTTGTAGTTATCTAGTTGAAACTTTCGAGAAAGCTTCTCCAGTTGATAACGGCATAATTTACTAGTTTTAATGGCTGCTGCCTTGTAAAGGGATGGTGGTAAAACACGCTCGAAACTAATAGATAAGTACCGTTACTAAATGTTTACTAACATTTTATGTGTAGCACCTATAATCAAAAATTGTCTATAGAGAACAACAATTATTGAATGAGTTTTACGGTGATACAGATTTGATGCAGGTATAAAGTGAAATTCAGAGCCGTATCGAAATTTGTTGTAGTTATCTTTATTTTCCTTGCTAATCTGCTTTCATTATAATTTTTAACGGTTACGGTAAAATAAAACACGAACTGCATACCCTAAATACCTGTATCTGCATGCGGTCTTCTTGAGTTTAAGGAATCAGGGCTGTTCTCAGCTGTGGCTGCTATTTTGTTATTGTTTTTTATTTTATTTCTCTGTTTTTTACTCTTTGCCTAAATATAAATGAGTGGATCACCAAAGCTGCGACAAACTTATCTGTGTAAACTAGAAAAAGTCGAGAATTGTCTTAGCTTGCTTTCACGTGTTGTGGGAGGCCTCTTAAAGGCAGGAGTGCGTTTTTTATTAGCGTCGAGAGTACTGAGGACCGGGTACCACTTGCTATGCTTCCGGCGTCTACATTGGCTCACCTCTCAAAGTTATTCAATCACACCAGTTGCAAAACTACGTTCCAAGACCCGGACACGCGATTGGCCGAGCCTGTGAAAACTAGCAGACTGTCGCGCCATCTAGGAATGGCAACTCAAAGCACAAAATAGTGTGTTGAAAAGTTGCCTTGCTGATCAACAACTGGGGCGTCACTCTGCACACTCCCGCCATCTGTGCCAATAGCGTGTCCTGATTTTGATACATAAAGCCTATGGGGAGTTTCGCAACTTGCATGATTGAAAAACTCTGCTCATCGCCTACGGGCAGGTTTGTCGTTGTTTTGACAGGAAATTGAGACTTCTGAAAGATAAGTGCTCACAAAAATATTCAGGTGTTTTAATCTTTTGCACCGGTATTTTGAAATAAACAGTGTAAATTTTCATGAAAGGGAACACAGGAGCGCATGGCCTGCGCGCTCTGGCGGCTGCTGGCAGCGCGTTCATGCGGGAGCGACCGCAATCACAGTCTTCTGTCACTTCATCTCGCGGCGAGAAAAAACAACCATTCGTTTCTGGTATGAAACCAGCGGCAAGATTGCTATCCTCTTCCTCTTCAAGGCGATTACGGAAGAGCCGGTAATCACAATAAAGAGAGATGTACGTTCACCTGAATAAATGTGCATGGGTATTCCGAAACTTTTCGGCCCCATAAAAACACGTATACAACGCAATCGGGAGTCAAACCCGAATCCTGGAGCTTTGAAGCACGACAGCATGGCCAGTGAGCTACCACGATGGGACAAAACTATTGTAGATACATTAAGCTAGTAGTTGCCTCCTAAAAGAGTAAAAGTGGACTTTTCTGCACCTGTCTCTTTAAGTTGAGCTTCATTTGTCTATTTTTTTTTCAGCAATGTATCAATCTAACTAAACCTCGTATATTTCGACGTAGAAAGTGGACGCAGGCTCCTACTTTATTGTCGATGCCTGTTTCACAGTAAACCTTTAGATGACTCATATCGCTTGTTCATTTCAGTCATTGATGCGATGGGCAAATACCCCACCGGACTACTACAAGCTACTAAAACTGACCTTGGAGCATTCGACGAGTGTCTGGAAACTGTCGTACATGACAGTTTTGGCCATGAGGTCACGCGAGCGCAGTATTGCAATCTGGATATGCGCATAAACAAAGGTAGCAGCTTTGTTGAAACAACTTTTGCTGCGATGGAAGTTGCCTACCCAAACGTAAGTTGATCTATCCCTGCTCCGTAGACCTTTTGCATCTTTAACTAAAAGTGCTTGTTGCTATATGCAGATTGATCTGCAGTATTGAATGTGCGTTTTTATACGTTTTCAGTGCATTTGCGATTCAACACAATAAGTGCACTTTCCTCGTTATACCAAGCCTTATACGCAATAATGCTCACGTCCATTGGCTGCTATTTCAGTCAATCAACCAATCAATCAATTTTATTTTTGTATCCATTTCACAAAGAGACAGAAGAGCGACAAATAAAAGCTGTCTTCCGGGCCTTACGAGCCCGCCGCCCCTATTTACAAGGGCTCACGGCAGCACAGCGATAGTTTGGTTAACATGTAATTGAGAAATCAGAAATAAAAGTTACATCAATGTAAAAACGGTACTTCGTTTGTAAACAAAGGCTTGAACAAGATAAAGCAACAAGCGCACAAATTAGTAATGAAATAATCAAAATATGGGAAACGAAAATGTACATAATAATAATGAATAGCGTTTACAAATTTAATACGTAACTTGCCTGATTGACAGCAAAACAGATCGAAATTAGTTAATGTGTAATGGTCTGCCTTCCACGTTTCTGTTATTTTTTTTCTCTCGCTCTCTTTCCATCTCAGTGCAACGGATAGAGCTTGGCGTCCACAAGATGACTTGAACAAACAGCAGCTGAAAAACACGCTTTTTCTTCTGGACGTCATTTAGTTTTCTAATGTCTAATTAGGCAGGCTGCCCCGTCGCGATGGTCTAGTGGCTAAGGTACTCGGCTGTTAACGTGCAGGTCGCGTGTGATCAAATCCCGGCTGGGGTGGTTGCATTTTTGATGGTGGTGAATATGCTGTAGCCCGTGTGCTCTGATTTAGGTGCACGATAAAAAAACCCTAGGAGGTTGAAATTTCCGGAGCTCTCCACTACGGCGCCTCTCATAATCATATGGTAGTTTTGGGGCTTCAAACTCTACATAATAATCATTAAATTGAAGGGCGGTACTTCCAGCTCATATTCCGGAAATCTAGGGCTGGTAAACAAAGGTGATATAGCAGTCATAATAATTACGAAAAAAAGATACTGCAATGGCGGCTTTAAGTTGGTGCTCTGGTATAATAATTCCAATGGTGTATACTTTCTAGCACAAAAGTCACCAACATTCTTTTATGCAGTCTCATTTTAGCAGGCTCGTGATGATTTTGGATGAGTCCACTTGCATGGTGTTACAGAGGTGCATACGAGTAAGACATTTTTGCTTCACAACGAAAAATGTTCGTTCCAACGATCTCCTTTCCTTGGGCCCGGAAGCCACTATGCTGAAACAAACGTTTTGTATCGTATTAACGCAGTTTCGCTAGATTATTCAACAAATGAAATTCTGAATTCCATCACATTTAAAAAGCAACTACCGCGTTTTTTTCATCTTCCTTGGTTATTCTTTCTTTTATGCCTGACAGTTAACAGTTGTATGTTGTTTCAACAAACACGCCATCTGTTACTTCGCAGCTATACAGATATAAGGAACATATGACAGACTTGCGTCTGCCACCCATTCGCATTGGAATCTGTGTCACGAATGACTGCAATGAGGAGGAATTGCAAGAACTCATCAACAAAAGTGAGTACGGCAACGGCTACTACGCACATCAGGCGGGCGCGTATAGCTTTCTTATAAGAAATACGCTGACCTAGAATAAGTCACCTCCAAACGCAACCAGTTTGGTCAGCTGTGGATCAGGTTGTTGCTAATCCTCTATACGTGAGTTGCCTATAGAGTCCATTACAATGCACCCTGTGTCGTCGCCTCATATGAAAGAAGACCTCAAGACAAACGCCAAGAGCTTCTCTCGTTGTCATTTTTTTTTTAATTTGTAGTCTGTTTTCTTTGCTTTTCTTTTTTTTAAAGAAGTGGATTACGAACTAGTCTAGTCTCCCACATTTTGTTCGTGTTCCAGTCAATACCATGCTTGTGTCGATGCTTCTAAAAGCGCCGGTGGATATGCATTCCAAAAAAGCTGGGCATCAACTGTATACGCAGCTGTGTGGTTTTGCAGAGTGTTTACAGCGTCGCTTCACGCTGTTGTACGAAAGCTCCTCAGGCTAAGACTGCTAGAATAGACAATTCATTCTCTACCAAAGTCAGCAAGTAAATCAATGAGGCGTCTTGTGGCACCAGAACGTTTTATTCGTTGCAATAATGACGTGAAAAGTGCAATTTAAGTGACGAATTGTACGTGGCGCTTCTCGGTATTCAAGTGTTGTAAAACTGAGAAACGTTTACTGAATGACCCTCATACAGGCAATTTCAAGAACACGTTGTTATTTCATGGCCCTGGGCCGTTACGGAATGAAGTTTTAGCGTAAAATTGTCTCATCGACGTCTCGCTTTTTCCGGTGTCGTTTTGCTGCGCTTTATTCAGCTAGAGGTGTCGTGAATTTGTCCTTGTTACGGACCAGTGTCATTCAGAAGGAAAAAGTTTGTCGTATCAGAGAAAGGCTATCTTTGGACTAGCGTTAACTACTGCCTCCAACCAGAACGGGAAAATCTGCTTGTAAATAAATATATGCCATCCGTGTGTGTGCCTTGCATAACAACCTATCCACCACGAGGCTACTCAGGATATTAGAAGATAAAGGCAGTTTTAAGTAAACTTGACTCTGCAGCACGGAAAACCTGAGCGCTCCGTATTTTGTCTAGATCTCTTTCTGTGGACACAGGATGAGGTTAGTGAGGGCCTCAAAGCAGTAACACTGTGAATGCGGTGAGTGCCTCGAAGCAGTGGCACTAAAGATGAATTGAAGTAAGGTTATCCGCAAACGCTATTAGAGTGGCAGAATGAAGGAAAACAGGCGAAAGAAGGCAGGAATGTTAATTACGTTGGTGTAACTGACTTTCTGCCTCTCTGCGCAGGAGGAGGTTCGGGGGAATTAAAAGAGTAACGAAAGAAAAAAAAAGAGTGGGAGCACACACAGAACACTCAAAATCTACGCATCTAACACAAGCGTAAGATCAACAAGTTAAGAAGAGTTCGTTAATTATGCGTACATTGATTCGGACTGTTCAATATACGACAAAGCAATAGCTCGAATTTTAGGACAAATACAGAGATGACACTCTGAGGTAAGACAACCAAGTTTCCACCTAAATATATGCTGCTCTCTTTACTGGGACCTCCTTTATTAGGTTTTTGTTTTCTTGTTGCAGTGGTACCACCTGGGCTAAATCTGAAAGTAAGCAACTGCGTGGCAAATGTTCCAGTGCCGTTGACCAATGGACAGACGGCGATAATGTGAGTATGCTACACTGAGAATCCATAAGCCTTCTTTATAGTTGATTAGCACTCTAGTTTTGTATACTAGAAAAATCGATGAAGAAAGAATATGTCATTATGAGATTATCCATGCCATCAGCTAATTCTCACCATGGAGGCTTCTCATCAGCGTCCTTTTCAGACATGAAGGACGCAAACAGCTTGTTTTCAGCATGACACATCATCGTCAGCTGCGATAACCAATATTTGCGTCTATGAAAGGGGTCGCTCCGAGCAACAGTCGGCCGAGTTTCCGCCTTGCGAAATACTTCGATGCGTTCTTTATGATGTGCCATCAGTATAGACAACAGAATAGACATTTATGTAATCATTGGCAACATTATCAACTTTCCTGGCGAAAACTTTATGACGCTGAACAAAGTGAAAATACATTTCTTTATGACGTTTCGACCCTCCCACGGGAGTCTTGTTCACAATACAAGGCTCCCATGTTGTAGCCGAAACGACATAGCAAGTATATTTTCACCTTGGTGGGCGTCTTTCAACGTTTCCAACAACATGTCATCCAGAACAGACGTGATTACATAAGATTCTAGACTTCACAATTGGTGAGGTAAATAAAACCACCAAAAACCCAAATCAAATTGCAGAAACAAAGAAATATCGCACACCACTTACAATAATGTCGTAGGTTTTACGTCACAAAACCACGACATGATCACGTGAGACGCTGCAGGGAAGGTTTCAGGAATTTCGATCACCCGGTACTCTTACGATCACCCCGGGTTTGTACGTTTCAAGTGAGCTTCACTTCCCTTTTCTTTCTTTTCAACTTCAGAATAACCCTCGGTGTTCTCGCCGCACTCCTAGTGATTGGTACTGCCATCGATGTCTACATGCGTCCAAAATCCGAGTACAAAGCAACATGTGGTAAGAGAAGAGTACTTCAATATGCAGAGCTGATGACGGAATGTTACGTTCTCGCTATTTGTTTGCAGGCATTCTGCTGCGCTGCCTCACCGCATTCTCCCTAATCTCGAATACGAAGGTGCTGCTGCAAGTGGTCAAAGACAAAAGTTCCGACGCCTATACTCTCCGTTTCTTCCACGGACTGCGCTTCTTCAGTTTGACGTGGATTGTACTGGGCCACTGTTATGGAACAGTGTCGCCAACTTGGTGTAAGTGGATCTGCTACAAAGTCAGAGTCACGGCTTTCAATTGTCGAAACAACTCTAGTCGAACGATCGCGTTATTTTGCGATTCGCAGGTTCGCTTCCCGCGGACTCCAACAACTGTCGAAATAGACGGCCAATGACTGGCATGTAAGCATGGTGTAGCACCACATGCGCATATTAAATACGCATATAATTGAGCGACCCTAGGGAACAGTCAACAGCCAGGACATATGTAGATTGTCACACAGCCTATACCAGGCAGTGAGATTCAGTGAGTGCGATAAATGCATCCTTTGGACTGTGCAGAACCTGTACTGTGCTTTTACTCAGAGTAGGGATTGAAAATTCACAATACAGAACCCCTTCTCTACATGCTCAACAATAGGAAAAAGAAAGCAATCAATTTTTCTTTTTCTATTCAAGACGGGGGAAAAAAGCATTTCCTTTGCACTTATTACGATGCTCAAAATGTAGTTTGCTTAATTTTTTTTGTATTTTATCAAGAGTTCGCTGTACGGCAAACGCGGTTACATGCATTCTCTGGGTGCATTGAAGATGCTATATAAAAGTACCTGTCTTTGCCCTGACGCACGTTGTTATAGAGGCTCACGTATATGCAATAACACTACAAATATGAACATTTAAATACCAGATTGGTTTTTCTATCTGTTCTAATGCCGGTTTGGAGCGGACTTTCATGAACACTTTCCCTGCACCGCACGTGACGCGTCAACCAGCACTGGATACAGTGGAATCCAATGCAGTGCTGAGAGTAGGTTACGCATGTACGCATGGACGGGATCCTTAAAATAATTGTTATCGTAGTTTTACCATCTCGCTTCCTCCCTCAACTTCGTTTCCTTGGGGTCATTCATTTGTTCTCAAGACCGTCTTAAATGTGCTCGTGTGTATTATGGCATATGCCAGCTTATGGCTGTGCGCTGGGACGAATGTTTATGCAGATTGACTTTTTTCGCTAAAGCGGCCTTAGAACGCACTGAGGCCTCAATAGAAGCTATAGTTGCTGTGACGTGAAAATCAGTTTTATCCACTGTTTTCGAAAGGCAGACAACTTATAAGGAAGTAGAATAAGAAACAATGGCGAAGAGCGCATACCTGATTTTTTGTCATATTTATTTGCCTGAAAGCAGCGCTTAAAACTGACTTCAATTTTTCAGTCATTCCATATAAAACCAGTGCAATTAAATGCAACCACTTTTAAACGTTCACTTTCAGTCTAATGCTCCTACACGGTAGTTGCGTGCTAAGCACTGACCCTCTCCATATACTACTTAATTCGTCATTGAGGACATCGTTTCAACAGGGTCTTCATGCCTCCGCGCAGTTAAAGTAGTTAGTGGACAACAATGTTGACAATGCACCTATGGAACATCATTTGTCACTCGAACCTCTGTATGTTCTGTTCACTTTGATTCGGGGCTAACGAGTAATCACTAAAACTGCGCACCAATATGCCTACTGAGAACGTAAGCGCACACCGAAACATGGCGCACGTAAGAGGTCAAACTTTAGCAATGCGTGCTCACTGAATCAATAACGTTTATCGCGTCAACAGCATGTGCGTCGCAAGTATTGTGGCTACGGCCAACGCGAAAATGTCGATTCAAAGCCTGTTCCTTGTTTTTGGACAAGTGTCAAGGAGACGAAGCGAGCGGCAAACGGTAGAAGTTGTGGCCCCATTCAGAGTTGCACAATGTGTAAAACGAATAAAGAACAAACAAATAATTGGAATTGGCTACCTTCCCAAACTGGAGGCTATACTTGTTATGCTTGGCTGTCCATATACAGACATTCCCTAACGCCAACACCCACACGTTGCACATTGTCCCAAGAGCTCAAGTACTCGGAGAGATACAGAGTTTTCAGCGTCTATTCACCCGTTGAGTTTGCGACACTTGCCCGTCATTATGGGTTCCACCACGTGGCAAGAACGAGGCAAACAAACTAACTAGATTACACTGGGGACGTTGAGTCTGCTCATGTGTTTTAACTAGCCTCTTCTGCTCTTTCTCTTGCAGCCCGGTTGCTGAACAACTTACTGATGGCTGAACGCATATCAAGCATAATGGTCCCGGCGGCATATATAGCTGTGGACACATTCTTCTTCCTCAGGCATGTTACCACCTTTACAAAGTCATTGTGCTCCTAAGACTACATACATTTATAAGAAAGAGAGAGAAAATAAATTGAGAGAAAGGCAGGGAGGTCAACCAGAATTGTAGCATCCGGTTCGCTACCATGCATTAAGAGGAGGGGGAAATAAAGAAGAGAAAGAAAGCGGAGAGAAAAGTAGTGTACCAAAAATAAACAAAAAAGCGGGTGTGCTATAGCCTATTTAATAGGCTACTACCACTCAAAAAGTTCAATAAGGCCTTCACTGGTTTACTGTGCGAAAAAGGATCATGTGGGAATTCGAGCACTGACTGTTCTGATAAGGGTCTGTAATCATGGGAGGCTAACGCAGCAGCTATAGTGGTAGTATAACGCTGCTGTAGCGAGGGCAGTGACCCAGAAGGTGCTCTATGGTTTCATCACTGCCGCAATAATCACAAGTGGCCCTGTCTTCCATGCTGATTCGGAAGGCAGAAACATTGGAGAAAGTGACAGCAAGCCACAGTCGGCAAAGCACAGTTGTCCCAAGCCGAGAGAATCCGGACGGAGGTTGAACTCGACGTGACGGGCCCAGCCTATGCAGTCGCGTGTGCGTAAACTTACTGTATTCTGCAGAGATTGTACGTATTCATTAGCAATCTGTCTGGGTCAGTCCTTGAGAACGGGATAGATTCTTCTACACCATCTTCGCGTGACGATCGAGCAGCTGTGTCGGCCGCAGTGAGTTGGAAGCCACTGAAACGTGATTTCATGTCTTTAGACGAGGAGGTGGTGGAGCAGCTTTCCAATTTATAGCATTAGTTGTTCATGGGGTTAACGGCGTAAGGCGAATAGCAAACACGGCAGCACTGCTTAGAGCCCGTGAACATGCTTCATTTGCTGGCTTGTTGATGTGAAGTTTGTGGGTATAAATTGGCAGCAGCAAGCATAGGACCGGGTTAACTGGCGGAACATGGGAGAGGCCTTTGTCCTGCAGTGGACGTAGTCAGGCTGATGATGATGATGGTGATGATGATGATGATGATGATGATGATGATGTCAAATTACTTTAAATGCGCTACCTAGAACAGCAAGTTCCGCAGCTGTCGATGTCGTTCGAATGGATAGCTGAGTCTTCGTGGTGGCCGCTGCTGCAAGAAAGATCATAGACTTTGCAGACACATTTACTGTAGTTGAAGCATCAATATATAGACGATTATGCTCACTGTACATCTAACGCAACAAGAGTAGAGAAAGTTGCTTTAGCGTTAAAGACGAGAGTCGGACTTCTGAGCGTACGCCTGGAACCATGTGTTGAACCCGTTGTGAGACGTACACCACGGGGTAGTTGGAAATTTCGGCTGGTGCTGTACATTCCGTTTGTATGCGTGTACGATTGGACAAGACTGTCAGACAAAATGAGGCATGAGGTCGGTCTTCACGCTGTGAGTCTAAATTATAGCCAGGGACGCGAGCAAGGTGCCTCAAATGGGCTCTCAGCGCTTCCATTACAATATTCGTCTTGACCGGGTAATGATTTCAAATCACAATTGTTTCGGCTTTTAACGAACAGTGCAGTAACCCTACACAAACTTGCAGAACCATCGCCTGGACGCTTTCGAGAGCGCGAATGCTGGTTTGGCAGGTATTGCTCATCTCAGGCAATCTATCGAATAGCCGAGTGTGTATGCTTGTGCACGTTGTCTGGCCCATAATCATAGTGCAGAAATCTTTCGCCACGTCAATTTTTTTGTCGGCGATGAAAAAGTACGAGGGCTTTGAACGGAAAGCTTTGTTCCGGAACAGAACGTATACGCCTCGCACAGTTCTCGATATTTGAAACAAAAGTTTATGAAAATCTAGCGATGCATAAAATTTTATCCATCGTTTGGTATCTAATTTATTGAAGCGCCATTGTATCTTCTTTTGGATGCGCCGGGCTGTTTGTAGATTGTCAATGAAATTTGTGCGTCGGTATCTTCTTTCGGCACAACAACGAATCACACAAAGTCTCTTCAACTCGAGGTCGAATTCAGAGTACTTTATAGAGCATATAAGTGTGTGCATAGCCGGCTGTGCAGTTTTTATTAGTTTGCTGAGGACTACAAGAGTGCAAAAGTGGCCTTTCCATTTAACAATTTTTACACTGGCTTGACGACGTAAGTAAGCTCCCGATGAATATATACGACATTCTTACTACTGTCAATATCACTTGATGAGAAAAATTCTCGTAGCCTTTTGCAATTAGATTGGGCTTGATAATTTTGGTCCACGTATGACCACAATAAGAAATCGGTAAAGACGAACAAATTGACGGCAAATAGAGAGGCGGGATCTAAGACCTCTTGCGTTCCACTGAATAATCAACGATTGTAGTGAAGCCGCCTATCGGCAGCTTTTTTTCCGTTGTCCTCCATCTGTGAGATTGTACAAGGTGGAAATAAATTTTAATTTGAACTTGAATTCTCTGACCTCTTGGTGAAAGGGTCTGTGATTGTCGGTCATGGCTTTACTGGAGATTTGCAAGGACTGGCGTCAACGCGTCCAGCACTTGTATCCCGCTTCTAGCAGCTGGCATACAAATGCTTGTCAGAAGATCTCTGATGACACTCACAATTTATCGCAGCATAGAAGTGATCTGACGATCTGCTGTCGAAGCCTCGTCAATGGGACAAATGACTTTCGCTAGAAGCAGAGACCGGGGAGGCTGCTGAGAAGGCCGTGCGTTCGTAAGCGCCGGCCAGTCTTCAGTGGGGAGAGGTCTCGACGATGGAAGCAGTTTTCTGCTTTCCGGCTCTCTTCTAAAAGTATGATGGTGTATACTCAAGCGGTGCATGACCACCTCTGTTGCTTAGCCCTTCTGTCGATGGTGACGCCGACGCCAGATTTTCTCTGATTCTTCTATATGGGTGGAGTTATTTCTGATTATTTGATTTAGCATATCAACTTTTTAAGTTTTGCGCATTCCTTAACGTGGCTTTGGGGGTACATCAACAGTTGGCTCGTAAAAGTTGCTGCACAGCAGATGTCTACAGTGTGCGACTCCGCCCACTAAGGGCATACGGTAGAGTTTGCACAGACACGCTGAACATGCCCATCTTAAAACACTCATAGTACTGAAGCGGATTTGGGACGAACTGCCATACCACATGCCGGAAATGTCCCTCCTTGAGGTGCGCAGGGATCGAGTCACTCTTGAAGGCCATCTTGACGCAGCGGCTGTTCCCAAGGTGGCATACGTGCGTGGTGACCACTCCACACACTGGTTTTATCACAATGGGCAGATCCGTATTTGGGATTGCCCCAGTCAACGTCGCAGATGAGACCTGCAGTGCAGGCCCCAGCCATTAGTTCGAACGCGTGTACTTTTACTGTTCCAGACTTTGTCATCGCATGCAGTTTTTCCTACATGTCTACCTGCGTTGTGTCGACAACTAAAACGTTTTTACGTGCATTTAGCCAGAACTCTTCGATTTCATTTTGTGCTATTCTCTCAAGAACAGCGGAGATATATTGCCAGTTAATATTCGAAGGCTGATAGAAGGATCCCCGGGCGTGAAGAAGATGATATGAGGCCAGAGTTCACTCCTTGACTTTACGGTTGACGTACTCGTGGGCGATGACGCCTTCATAGGCCTCCTTTTGGCTTTCCGACTACTCACAGACACGAAGCGGTCGTCTGATGAATCACCGCACTTGACGGGGTAGATATCTGTGTTTTCACTGGAACTGCACCAAGAGCCTGCCTAACTAGAGGAGCTTAAGAATTTCTAAATTTTTCATGCAAGGTTTGGGCATAACATTCGCAGCGGTCGAAACGCGAAATTATTTTTTTCTTTCTCCAAAGGCAGTGCTCTTCTGTCTCAAATTATGCGTATACATTTTAATGACGTTAATAGCCACAAAAAATACAAAAAATATCATATGCAAATAAAGCGCCCACAAGCCTAGTTTTAAAAATAGGCATACATGCTCAATTCACTTGTTTGTACTTTAAGAAAAAGTGATATCGGTCATCTTTTTTAGGCAAATCAACTTTTTGGAGTCGTCTAACAACAAGCCTCTTTTTCTATATGAGAGTATCCGGTTGGCCATGTCGTTGAAAATACCCGGTCTTCTCTCTCTCTCTTTCTACCTCTTGCTCTTAAAAAAAAAAACGTTACAGGTACTACACGCCTGTCGTATCACGAAAATGACCTTTCTTTATTTAATGATGGCAATCTTTTGACCTTTTAGAAAACAGCAAGAACTGGACAAGACGATGCTTATTTTTTTTTATCCAAACAACGGGAACAAAAAATTAAGTCATCAAGATGACTGCTGATCCTATTGTGGAGGGTTATCTCATTAACCTGGCCTTATTACGTGAAATGCATATGTACGCACAACATAGTGATGCGGGAGTTCCTGTGAAAGTACAATTTAAAGATATCATTTGTACATTCAGAAGAACAACTGTACTTTCTAGAAGCATAAAAGCTTTTTGTTTTTATGTGTTGACGTTGTATGTGTGTTTATATGTTATAGTTATATATTTTGCCACTATACTATTAGTTTTCTATCAATCGCTTTGAGCTTTTGCAGTACTGCACCTATTTCAGTTATAAGAACAGCAGTAGCTGGCATCACCAGACATCAGCATGTCTTTTACTTGGAACCAAAGCGTCTAGCGTGATAGTATTTGCAATATGCGTAATGTTACCCTTCACCACACATTCCAACAAATTAGGTCCCTATGTTGTTACGCGTGACCTAAAAGGAGATAGACCTAAAAATGGGCAAGCACAGGTTACGGCAAATCATTTTTTATTTTTAGCTCAGTTTTTTAGGACGCATAATTTTGAATAGTTTATATGCACGTCCATGGAGAAGCTTCATCCTTCAAGTCAGACCAATACGGTCTTGTACGCTTTTAAGACTTATGTGTGCATCCGCATAATGTGTGAACATCTCTCATCATATATAATCATCATTAAGCACCCGTTTACTCCATTCACGGCTTGATATTTGACTAGGCTTAGGCTGATTTACATACTTGCCTTTTTCTTACTGCCTTTCGCAATCTCTCTTCGTCCGTATTGTCTGTTTTTGCATATAGACGTGATTCTTCACAAGAGTGGTATTTATTATGAAACAATTATGAAATAAACAAATCATGGTGATGTTAAGGCAAAAGCAGAGAAGTAGACAATCACTTTGCCCTCATTGTTAAATGAGGGCAAGGCACCGAGTATTCGTGTTGGCATTAAACATGTCATGGATGTGTAACCATCGAAATAATTTGTTCATTAAAAATGTTTCCACGTTCCCTTTGTTGCAGTGCGTTCCTAATGTGCTACACAGTATCAAAACAGAAGAAACCTGCCATCGTCGTGTTCATATTTGCGGTGATACGACGGTTTATAAGGTAAGCTCTGCCTTTCTGCTTAGTGTGAGAATTTCGCGAACGGTGTTGTGCCAATTCGCATTGCGAGATATCCTTACGCCGTTTTTACGACAACGTTTATTTTCACAGGACTATGGTGCCGGTATTCTTCGTTCTCATGTGCATGTACTTGCTCCCCGTGCTTACATCGGGGCCTGACGCAAGGACCTATTTTGAGAAGTTCTACGACGAAATGAACCAGCTTTGGCTTGCCATACTACTTCAGATTCAAAACTACAAGATAAAAGCTTTCGTAAGTAGTGAAAACCTTATTATGCATTCTTATTATTAACTGAACCTCAATGGATCATAACTTGTCCTAAAGATAACGACAGAAACAAGCCGACATTTGCACGTAGGTTGATTTTCAAGATATGGCTGATATCAGAATTGAAATGGAGGCAAAAAGCCGTAGCAGTTATCGTAACATGTAAAGCTTCATTCATACTTGGTATATGTAGTAAGCAGATAATTTGCAAGAAACGCGACAAAAAATTCAAACGCCTCTAGAGATAGAATCACGAAGACTGCTAATGTTGCAACAGAAGTGAGCCCGATTGCTGAAGGGCTCGCTGCTTTGATGTGAAGTGCTTACAAAACAAATACAAGGTGGCTGACGATAATTTTCTGTTTTTTTCTGAATGCGGCACTTACAACATTCTTATAAATTTAACGCCTCACAGTCAGATGTGCTGAAGATACCCGCTTGTCAGTCAGCCTGCGTCCCTGGGGCTATTGACAGTATGAGGAATGACGTTCTGTTTCTCGTTTTATCATTCTTTTTTTTCACCAAATGAACCTACCCATTCAAGAACAGCTAATAGAAAAAGAAAGATGAAGTGCCCAAGAACCGTGCAACATAGTATAGATTTCGCCATGAATTTACTTCTGTGTTAAACAAGGAGGTTTTCTGTAGTAATTAGTCGAGGCACACGTACCTGTTTTTCACTCGACAGACAATTTTGTTCATGTATACAGCTTTGCATTGCCTTAGCAGAGGTATAGCAGTGAACCTATATATCACAATGACAAGCTTCTGACCCTTTGTCTGCACAAAGTTATTGAAACAGGGCTAATAAAAGTTTTCAGTACACCAGCTTTTTGATGAACGCCACCGTCAATTAGAGCTCTATCGGGTTTTATATTAAAAGTTAGAGGAAGCAGAGGAGCTATTTATGAGTAAAAATCATGAAACAGACTAGTAAAAATAAAAAACATTTGGTAGTGTCTCGTACTCTCGGTGCAATGTTGATAAAATGTGGGTCAGCATGATCAATATCGACATAGGCTTATGCAGTTCATCTCCTTCTCAGCGATACTTTTGTCCCAGGTGAACCTAAAAGTCGTCTTACTCTTCTTGTCGAAAGGTTGCATTGGTCGTATTGTGAACTGATCACAACCAAGAACATTTTTCGCACACGCCATAGATACCGCGAGGGCAATTGTTTGCCTTTCCTGTCACGAAAAAGGAACTTTAGCCATGTCAATCTAAAAAAAAACCAACGTCACATGGTAAAAAAGTCTGAGTGCACCCGAGTGCAGTTAATCCAGTGCAGTAAATGCTTGCGGCTTCTAACCTGTAATTGCTGACACTGAATATTTAGTTCTTGTCTCGCACCGAACGTTTCCAGTACACAAAAGAATTGTCAATCGCACTTAAGTGCTCAAACGGAATATTTCGTCTTTTTATAGCTTCTCGAAAGTGCACTTTTTGTTCAACAGCTCATGATGTTTTGCTCTCTACCTTACAGTCCATACTGGTACACCTGTGGTACCTTTCAGTCGACTTCCAGTACTTTCTTGTGAGCCTACCGATTGCCATCATCTTGAAAAAGTATGTCTTACTAAAACAGCCATACAACCATTGCTATTAACACAGGTACTGCCTTTGTAAGAAATAAACTATGCAACCCAGCATGTAAGATCAACTGCTTTCAGGATGTCTAGAGAACCGTCTAAAGTATCTAATTTCCTTAGGAGCTTAGTAAAGGGAGGCGAAGGCTTACCTCACTCTAGATCGCGTTCCAGTGCATTACACGGGTTCAGGCACCCCGTATTCATGACTAATCACTAGTCAAGCTCATAGTGGTTTTGTTTCTTTCGGCAAAGGCTGTACAATTTCTAGACAGAAGTTAATAAAATTGTAAAAGTGACTTCATTCTATTCTACTTGTTTTCATTACAGCCATAGACGCTGGGCCATTGCTGTGTTCGCCTTGCTTTCTATAGTCAGTTGCTCACTCTCAGCATGGCAGATCAGTGGTACCCACAACACACCTTTCGTGATTGCGATCACGGAATCAATGTCGTAAGCGATTATTTTATATTTCCTTTCCATTTGATAGAACAGCGCTAAAAAAGCAATCTCGATTGTATCCGTGTGTACGTGTGCCTGTGTGTGTACTAAAAGGGGAAGGTGGTAGTGGGTTGCAGCTGTGCGTGCGCGTACGTAAACCATTGCTTCATACATTTTGATTTCAATTCCTTCTTTGCAACGTCGATACGTATTTCTCAAACTTTCTTAACCTAATTCTAACATGACCAGATTCCTCGAGCATCAAAGCGAGATGGGGTGTCTTTTCAACTCGAGTTTTCTTCTGCTATCCCCATGGTTTACACTTCACTAAAATTGTACGATTCCGGGACATAGCTGAGAAAACCAGGCTAAAGTGACATAACATTGTAACCAACAAAATAAAACTAGTGATCTTATATTTGCTCAGCATAATAAAACAATAAATTCCTGCAGACAGCTTGTGCATTTGATGTTGAGAGAATAAGATTTGAACGCGGGCCGTCTTTATGCCTGTCGAGTATTCTACTAAATGAGCTCAAAACTCATTTGCAAAAAAGAAAAGCTCAGTAAAGCCGTCATGTCGGGTAAGAAGTCGCTTTGTCTTGTGTATTGTAGTATGGCAGAATAATAAAATAATAACCAATGATCACACAATGCTTATTTCGCAGCGAGTGTGCTTTAATCTTTCCCACCAACTGCAAAGAGCTCAGCCACAATTCTTCGTCGTCATCAGCCCCGTGAGGCATCAAAAAAAAAAGCGCGTAATAGCTTACTAATGTGTAGCGGGTACTTCGCTTATCCGCAGTAATGGTGTAGTGGATGTGGCCCTACTTCACAAAATTAAATTTTTGACTTAGTCGATACGTCGCCAAAAGCCGAAACTCCTAACAGAGGTGGCCTTGCCCCAACTTGAGTCTGCACTCAGAATTTTCATTGGGAAGTATTGTAATTATCGGTCAGTATTTATTTCATTAAATTGCTTCTAGTTTAGCTTGCTTGCGGTAGTCGATAAAAGAGAACTTTAACATACCCACTTGGTGCGTACTTATTTCGAGTGCCACTAAGCACGCCCTCATTCTGCGACGTTTCTGCAAGATTAATACTTGTCGCTGTCGCACAGGGATCATTGCCTTATGATCAACAAAGCAGAAAATGGACCGTCAGAAACATGTGGCCTCAATCATAAAAACCGAACTCCAGCAACTAAGAGACATAAAACAAAGGAAGGTAGCCTAATGAGAGCCTTTCTCTACTTATTCCACTGTTTAGTGTACAATACTTGGCGCTCTAACAAAGCGCAGATCTTGTTTATTTCGAACGCTAAGTAATGATTGCATTATCCAGAAATGTTTTTTGTAGTATACCACACGTTTCATGCTGAAAACAGAAAATTGTGCATGACCAAGGAAGAATAAAATTGCCAACTTTCTCAAATATTAAAAGCTGTCCATTTCGTTTTCTTAAGTAACGCTCTTCGACACGCGTACTTTTCCCTTGAAAGTACCTTATTGCTAAACCTGTAGAGTGCGCATAATTCGAGACAGTATTTATTAAATTTACTTCAATTACCTTTACAACTAAAAACATTTGTGGTTATTTAAAATAGGAGAATCAAAGCCCTTTACACGAAGAACACATTACAGCTTTGAGATTTAGAAAAAGTGGCTTGTCGTTGCGATGTAATAATTACGAAGGAGTCAAGCTGAAATAATGCAGCAAAGAAACTGAAATCGAAATGTGCATGCGTGCCACAGCCATATTTATTTGAGACATCCAACTGTTGAGCGTCATTTATCAGTCATCAACCGATTTGACTATGGAGTGTGCGGGCTGTGCTTGAAATAATAGCAAGCATGACGCACATACGTTGATGAATGGGCAAGCACTGCACCTGTGTATTCGATGTCTTAAACCGTAACGCTGTTCTGGTCATCTGCTTATTGTGGGCTTATGGGTGCTTTGGTTTCAGCTTTGATGGTCACTTTGGTTTAATTTCATTGTGCCACAAGAAGCACTAGAGGCCACTTTTTCGAAACTTCAAAGGTGAAGTCAGTTGCATGAAGTACTTCAATTCTTCAGCTTTACCTAACCGCCTAATACCATATACTGAAAAGATTTTTTAGACTTCCTTAATTACTGCCTCCAATGATGTCTTTAAACAACTGAAGACGACTGCCATTTCAGAAAAATCAATGATGAAGTCTGCGAGCAAATATCATAGTTACCTTATTTTTGAGGATTTCGTACACATTTTTTGAAACAGCCGGTTATTTCATTTGTTGCGTGAGGCCACTGGTAAATGCTTCATATGTTGGACTTGATGGGCTTCTCTTCCATATAAAAATTTTTCATTGATTGCATTTGTATATCGCAGAATATTGGAAGACACATTGAATGACTACTACATCCTACCTTTCTATCACGGCGTGTGCTACTTTTCGGGCTGCATTGCGTTCTACTTGCTGCAAAGCTTCAGGGATGTCAAAATGTCTAAGGTAAGAGCAAAAAGCTTTGTGAAATGCACATTTTTTTTCTGATTTCTGCTTCTTTGACCTCACTAACGTTTAGGGCCTCATTCAAAGAGAAAAGACTTCTGTCTTCGTAAATAATCACTGCATCGACTGGCTGCTCGACAATATGTGCGACATTGCGTTTGTCTGGCAGTTACTTTTCAGAACAGTTTTCCAATACAAAAAGAAACTTCGTTTCGAATAGAGGTCCTTATGTCTGACCACTCCACAGAAAACACACCTAGCATGAACAAACGTGCAGTCACCAACGTAAATTAGTAAAACAGCACGGAGTGTCCATTTCAATGTGAATGACGAGTAACGCTAATACGGCTATACTTATACTAAGCTGCAGCTAGAGCACGCGAGGTATTTTCATGAAAGAATGGTGACGGTGGACTGAGAAGAGACTGCTCTGTTCTTGGTCTCTTTTTTTTTGCCCACTTTCAAGGTTATCGGAAGGGCTTTTTTTGTTGTTGTTTTGTCCTTGTACCGTTAGTGTTGCCCCTACGCTCTCTGCAACAAGGAAGCATACCGACCTTTTCTTCGACGAAGGTAGATCATGGTACAATTTCGATAGTAAAAGCGTCTGGTATATGAAAGTGCTGTGCGATGCTGCTTCGCGTATTTACAACATTATATTTACTCATCTGTGTACATGTATTGTGCTGACCGATCATTGCTCAATCATTTGTCCTTTTTTTTTTTGTTCCTTGCTTTTCGTGTCCTGCACGTATAGCTGCACGGAAAACCAAGGCTTCGTATTTCATTAGTATACAGTACCACCCACTTTTATGTAGGTCTTGACGAACAACTAATTTTGGTTATACGGTCAAAATAAAAGTGCCCACGTAGTTTCAGGGCTATCCTGTGCATGTTCGATTTGATTGGACTACCACTGTCGCATACGTGTTCTGTACCTTGCCTCTGGGTACATCCGCTGCTGAACACACACACACACATCTGACGTTTTAGGCAAGTTTAGAGTTATAGTTTCTCGTCTTGCTTATGAAAAAGCCGCTTCTCTAAATATAATAGTCGCGTGGATGTTACGAATGTGAAAACGTGGAGTTAGAGCGTTGTTGGCATACTCATTACATGTTATTCGAGGGATCAGCTAACATACATTATTATTAGAGGATTCGTCACTTTAAGCAATATTTCATTTACCTTAATCGCAAACATAGTTCCACTGGCTTAGCAGATTGAACTACACGAAACGCGTAGATTTTGCGAGTCTAATAAAAACGTGTTAACTATGTTCAAAGTATCACCGGAACAAATATTATAAAGTACGGCGGATGGTTTATATACACAATTCTTTGTCTTCGCGTTCCATATTGCGATCACCTTCTTTGGTTGCTCGGCTCCCAGACATACGACAATATTTATGCATCTCAGGAAGCATTGTGGTACATCCGTTTCCATCTACCTTGTCAATGTTTAAACCCTATGAGATAATCTGACTTAACGAGTAATTTTTTTGAACCCACAAAAAAATAGAAGGCACTACAGGTCCACCTTCAACAGTAGATCGCGACAGACTAATCAGGCCTCATGCGCATACCTTCTGAGCTGCTAACCTGCTTCGGTTCTCAGTGCATGAATGAGCCGTACCGCAGGGAAACGAATGACTGTGCTCGTAACATTTGCCATAACAACGGCCAATTTTAAGCGCACAGTTATTGGTTTCAAGGTAGCATTGATATTCTTTCCTGATATTTGTCGTCCTCCTTGGCGCATACTGCAACGTAGACAGTAGCTCGCGTGACGTCTACAGCGTACATGCTCTCGATTTCTTTATATACGTGAAATATCACATGAACTTTGTCTCCTGCACTGCTTTACCATGCAGCCACCTTTGTGTTCTTCCTTGTTTCACATGAATATTGTGCAAAATCAACCAATAAAACTTTATTTTTTGTGTTTACAACTGCGCAAGCAGCAATAAAAGCATGCCGCGGAGAAGCGCAAAACCTTGATAGGCTCTAGCGCTTAGGGCTGATATTGTTCACGTGCATTCAAGAACTAAGAGGTGAGCGGAATGCATCATGTGTATGAAGGAGAGGAGAAAATCACCCCCTAGTCTTGAAACGCGGGGTGGTGAGTGGCCCTTTAGAGAGCTCGTTTCGCAGAAATTCTGGTGTTGGCGTCAGCATTATTGGTTCTCAGCGAAAAATTTTCATGTTTACGTGACCAAAAATTTAGCTGGATGCAAAATAATAAAATGAAAATTCCTAGGTCCGAGACAGTATCAAACCCGAGCTTTTCGCATGGCAAACCAGTGTTACACCACACAACCACTGCGTCCGATTAGAAATCAAGCAAAAATAGCTTCCTCTGCTTAGAAATGCAGTGAAAATAACTATCATGCTTTACAAACACGCGTTCTCTATACAAGTTTCCCAATACATCATGTAGTGTCACAGTAATGTTGCGTAGTACAAAGGTACATTGCCATCACGCTTCATAACCTGTTATTATCATAACAAGTTAGTGTTTTAAAGCCATGCACTTATTCGAAAAAACATTCACGTTACTTCGCATATTCCTTTAAAACCACGTGTGATTGGTGCATAGCAAGTTCGAAAACATTTCACGCGCATTGCACATGGTTTGAAGCTTGCTACCCATTACACACAATGCATCTATATGCGAAAGCTTCAGTGAAACAAGCCACTTTCAACTTCATCGAATGCATAGCAGTAATCCACATATGAAACTACCCGAGTAACATCATACAATAAAAAGTATGCTCTAAGTCGTTGAAGCAAATGCACAAGGGACGGGATATCGCTGTCGAGTTCTACTCTCCCAATTTTTATGGTTCTGCGGCTGGTGATGATTGATTATGTCTGAGCGCAATATAAAGCGCGGGCCTTTGAAGCACCCGCACGTTGCTCAGTTCACATTTTTTGACGCCTGGTGCGATCTTATACGCTTCATGCCACGCAATGCGTTAAGGAGACTCCTTCTACTACTTGACTTTCATATAGTGTCTTTTCCCAAACCAGTTCCAACAAATCTCGTTCCTCTGTGATAGAACACCTGCTTGCCACGCAGACTGCATGGGTTCGATCCTCACTCGGAACCGGTAATTTTTGTTATTTAATTTACCGGCATCTTTCTAAATTTGTAGGTTACGGACATGATGGTGATGTCACAAGCAACGATATCGACGCTGATATTGGTGCCGAAATTTTTGCGAAACGGGTTCTTTATCGCCATAGCGTTAATATCTATATGATTGCTTTGTACTTTTTTAGTTCACTAATACGTTATCTGTGACGGCTAGATCGACCTTCATTCACGCTGTGCTAACCCCGTGCTCTTTCCTTTGGCTTAGTTACATCACCGTGCACGCAAGCCTTCGAAAAACCAGAATAGTGACATATGCAACCTCAGAGTTTCGGGCGCCGACTTGCATTTCCTCGTTCTGTACTGTTTGGCTGACCCGCCGGTAGTGATTGATCTGTATGTTTCGCGTCGCACCACTAACCTTGATTTAATAAACTTGAATGATGTTGTGTTGGTGGCCGCATTTTGATTTGTTCGAGTAGAGTCACACGTTATAGTGTCTACTATAACTACATGGGGATTTTTTTTAAGAGAAACCACGGGATTTTTCGTGCTATTGAAGTTTGAAGTGAAGAAAATTTTATTGGTACATAGATACAAAACATGCCTAAACAGCAATGATGGTGGGATAAAAATAGCATATAGGCAGCTTGGCAGGTCCCACATCCTCGAACAATACTAGCAGCAGCAACATCAACAAAAATTATCACTTTTTGCAATAAAAATATATGAATACATAAAGCAAAGCAATAAAGATTGAGTAAGAAACACACATTTTCAACAAATACAGAAACTAGGTTGGTATTCGTAAAGTTAGTTGGCACAGTGTCTTTTTAGAAAGATGACGTACGTTGTAGTTGGCTAGTTCATATTTGTTTAGTGTTGAAGGGAGACAGTAGAATAGTGTTTGGAAATCGTAGTGTGTGCGTGTCTGGCGAAATTTTCTTTACCAGGCGGCAAACCAGACTCGTTTGGTGGCAAACCAGACGGCATCTGTTTAAACGTACACTATAACTAAATCTGCACTAGCTTTGGACTACAGACCTATTTCCAAGTAACATATTCTTGGGCCATAAAAGAACAGTCAAATGGCTCTGGTAGCAACGAAGGGGCTTCGTATTGTTAACAGAACGTGGCCTATGCTCCGAGCTCTTGAACTACACGTGGGCTCCATCTGCCCATTGCAACGCAGGGGAGGCGCATGGGCCGAATATGCATGCGTATTACACGGACACATGCATTGCTTTCTGTACACTCTCGTCGTTGCTTGAACTCTCTCTCTTTCTTCCATTTTTCAGTGCAAAGTAGCAGGTCAGTCAGGGACAAAGCTCAGCCGCTACTCTAATAAAATATGATGATAATTTTATTTATTTCTTTTCTAACTGGTGTACACTGTGCGCAGTAATTTTTTACAACATAATTGCACCTCTATGTTTTATTTGTTTTCTTTTTTCCATCCAGATCACACAGGCACTAATTTGGATTGTCGCCCTCACCGCTGGTGGTAGTTGTGTCTTTGGCAAGGAACCCTGGTACAAGCACCGACGTCCGGTCACCGAGGTCGGCGATATGTGTATGGCATTCTTCGACCGAATACTGTGGTCGCTGTTTCTCACCTGGATTACGCTGACATGTGCTACGGGACGAGGAGGCAAGACGTTTCTGCCATTTGAAGCACGCTTCTTGATGATTGCAAGATCATCAGAGCCTCAAATGCTAAAATTGTTTCTCCTGATAGCGTAACGGTTATTAACGACAATGCGACATTGTTAAAGGACCATAAATTTGCATTTTTTAGTTTGAGGCTTATCTGAAAGAGAAGTTTCAAACTTTCTGCCCACTCAAAACTTGACAACTTAACCCACTGCCTAAGTACGTACAATATATCTCCACAATACCTGCTTGCACAATATCCGCACCACTATAGTCATACTCACAGCATCGAACTCTTTTGTATTGCACTGTATCCTGATGGGCTCATCACGCGTTAGGATTTGGTTAAGTACAAAAATAAACCAACGCATTCGAGCGAAAACTTCCCACTTCTCTATACCACACAAAGAAACGCCAGGAATGTTTCTCGTTTGTGTGTTTTCTAGCACTATAGTTGCCATATTGGCAATGTTCAATATGGCTGCAGTGAAAGAATGAGTATATATAAATGGGTTACATTTTCACTAATTGCCTTTATTTCGGTGGGACTCGATAATTGCCACTGTTAGCAAAACGAATCGCATGCTTTTTGTTTTATACTTGGAAAGTTTTCATAAAGTAAGCTGGCCGCATTCACGAACCTCCTATTTGATGCTCTGTAACCGTTCGTTGTTTCATTTCAGGATACATTAATAAGTTCCTCTCCTGGAATGCTTTCGTACCGCTGAGCAGGCTCACATTCGGAGTGTACTTGATCCATGCTCCTTTTATTATCTTGTATCTGCACATCTCCAGAGAACGCATCTTATTCTCACACTTCACTTTGGTGAGTAGAAAAATTCTGCTTGTTTGTTTTTTCTCTGAAAAATAATTTAAAATCATGAGTGAATGCGCATTGCACATCACCATATGGTGCCATTTCGACCACTTAAAGAAAAACTGCCCTATAGTTGTAGTAGTAGGAGAAGGAGGAGGAAGAGTTGTAGTTGTAGTAGTAGTAGGAGGAGGATGAGGAGGCGGCAGAGGAGTAGCAGTAGCTGTAATAGCAGTAATAGTTGTATTGCAGTAATATAGTAGTAGTAATCGTAGTATATCTCTAGTCGTAGTAGGAGGAGGAGCAGTAGCTGCAATATCAGTATTAGCAGTACAGCAGTAGTATAATATTAATAGTAAAAGTAGTTTAGTAATAGTCGTAGTAGTAGTAGGAGAAGGAGGAGGAGGAGTCGCAGTAGCTGTAATAGCAGTATTAGTAGTATAGCAGTAGTATAGTACTACTAGTAGTAGTAGTAGCAGTCGTAGTGTAGTAGTAGGAGGAGGATGAAGCGGAGGAGGAGTAGTGTAGTGTAGTAGTAGTAGTAGTAGTAGTAGTAGTAGTAGTAGTAGTAGTAGTAGTAGTAGTAGTAGCAGTAGTAGTAGAACGCTCTATAAAAAAATGGACAATTTGGGGAGTATAGCTCTGCCACGCAACAATAATCATCATTTAACTTCCTCGCGTCAGTTTTCTTAGAAACCCGGCGTTCGATCAAAAATATTATATCACACTGATAACGCGCACGCCGTTCGTGACCGCTTACTACCGTATAATCATGCTGATAACGCGAGGAAAGTACGCGAAGTAGATGACGATTATTGTTGCATGGCATAAATACTCCTAAATACTCAATTTTTTTAGAGTGTAGTTGTAGTGGCATCACAACATCAATAAAAGGCGATGTGTTTTGCTTTCTGAAAGACGTCGACCCCGTAGACAGTTATTGGTATATATAAAATGAGCCACATTAAGCTGCAGGCTGCGGCACTGCCGTGGCGTCATTAAGCTGTAGACTGCGTGCAGATTCGGCTACATTCCGATAATGGACGGACTGCAAAACACTCAAGCGTCTTTTCTTTTTTGTTTGTTTGTTTAAGAACCTCGATTGTCAAAAATGATTCTGAGCTGTCTTTTCTGGTTGGTCGTAATAAAATTGTAATTACCTCATAACTTTGCTAAAATGCCTGTTTATCTACCTCTAATTTTCATGGGGATAGTAAGCACTTCATGTTCCTGGTGTCATTCTAAAAGGTCGAGCTGTTTTGAGCAATTGTGCCCTTCATACTTAGCACAGCTTCAACCATATTCATTCGCTACGCAGTAAACTGATATTTATAAAGTGCTTTCTGGTATAACTTACCAAGAATAATTAGAGAACATGTCTTTTAGAGCCATACACAGTTATTTTGAACTGAAGACAGATAATTCTTGAAAAACATACTTCTGATGCCTCTCACTTCTAAATCTTGCGCACGTGTATGTTTTTTTCTTTCTGCAAGAATTCAGGTCGCATGTTGGCAATGCTATTATAATATGGTCTTTTTCTTTTTCTTTTCTTTTGTCTCTGCAAATTATTGCAATTTTGTAAAGTTAAACATAATGGTTCCTATTGTATATATGTCTTGTAATATATATTGCTGAATTATGTTGGTTTATTGTTATTGCATCACTGCTGTTAAGCGCCAATGAGAGGGCCAGCGGCCTCGTCAAGCTGTCCAAACGACACCTTTTTCGGCCCGCCCCTTCGTATCATTCACTGTATTGATGCGAATCTAACGTCATTGCCGTTGTCATTGTCCTACGCAGGTGTCGCTGTTCTTTGCAATCTTGCTTTGGAGCTACTGCCTCACATACCTAATGTTTGTGCTGTGCGAGGCTCCAACAGCACAGCTAGACAAGCTAATCTTCATGGGCACCGGAAGGAAGGAGCGGCAACCGAAACTGCCTCTCCTGAATGGCGCTCAGCACGACAAAACGTCCGTTGTCCCGACAGAAAGCGAACAAAAAGATCTGGCTGCCATTGACCCGGAAAGTGGCAACAAAAATAACAAGAGCAGCAACAATGGGCTTATCATTGTTGGCCAAACTGTTACATGTCATCTTTAAGAATATTGTGTGAACCCGCTTTAATTGAAGTCTGAGGTTTCACTTATTCAACCGCGCCCCATGAAGCGAGGGTGAATGCTGCCAGTAACAAGCGCGAAAGCCCGCGATATAGTAGGCAAATGTAAATAATTCGCCCCGCCGCTATCGTTTAGTGGCTAAGATACTCTACTGCTGGCACGCAGGTCGCGGGATCGAATCGCGGCTGCGGCGGCTGAATTTTCGATGGAGGCGAAAATTCTGTAGGCCCGTGTGCTCAGATTTGTGTGCGCGCTAAAGAATCCCAGATGGGGAAAATACCCGGAGCAGTCCACTATGGCGTCTTTCATATTCATGTGGTGGTTTTGGGACGTTAACCCGTACATATCAAAATATCAATCAAATGTAAATACGTCATCGCGAAACTACCTTTTCTTCTTGTACAAGCCACATATATGACTGTTTTTCCCACGAAATAACACGGGAAGGAGGGAGTGCAAACTTTCGACTGTTTCGAACAGCCGAAAGTTTGCGCAACAGAGCCGTACCCTATCGTTCGTTATTTCGTTGCGCAAAACAAATTGTTGGCTTGTACAAAAACATGAACCGACTAGCCGAGCAAAGAGTACTTCTAGACTACTTTTCCTGTTTGGCCGAATCAAGTGTGATACCATATTCAAGGTGGCTATAACAAGACCCACCACCTGAACTTTGTGTGAATTGTGTGTGTTAGTGTGTTCTAACCTGTAATATATTGTTTTTCTGTGAGTTTGTTAAAGTCGGTAAAGTAAGAAGGTGAACTATTTTTTTTGTAATACGAGTGGTCGTACAAACACGGGTAAAACAGAGAAGTTCTCAATGCCTATCCACTAGCTCATCTCTGTTATTGATTGTTTGCATTGATGTGAACTAGCGTTGCTTCTCAGTGTCTTGACTGAAAGAGGAGTAGCGTATAGATCGTAAGCAACACGTTAAGCTCTCGTTTATACACATTTATTTGGGGAAAACGTACCAAAAGCGCTTCTCAATTGCACGACTTTTGTTCTTCTACCTTAGCAGCACTAAAGGTCAAAGCACGTCAGGACCGCAGTTTCAAAGGTTAACAAAATGAAAAGACCCAGTCTCGCCACCATTGTAGGCTAAAGCGACACGGTGCGGCGTCACATTTCCCTATTGAGAGTTAGTTATTCGTATGCCGGGGTGTGGCCTCTGTTTTATGGAGTGTTGTACGTGTGTAGATAACGAGCCGCCCATATGCAATCTTCATTTTTTTTTTTTTACGGTAACTCAGCGAATATGAAAAAAACAGACTTTCAGTCAACGTCACGCTTGTCTGATCAGCTTATTTAGATGAAGTGTCCGCAATATTTGGCACTCCTGCCCACACTTGTGCGTGCTTGTACGTAACGTCATTGGTCACATGAGTGTCTACTATATATGTAGGCTGGTTGCATGGAATAAATGTTGACGTTGTCTCTTGTGCATGGGAAGTGGCTCAGTCTCTTTTTTGCCCTCTCGCAACCGGCCAGAATGCTCATGGCTGAATGTGGTAGGCCGCCAAACGACATGATGTCAGAAGTGGGATTCGAACCCACGCCCACAAACGTGGGCCAAAAAAACAATAGCCCGGACCCTGAAAAGGTCTGGGCCATCAAAGAGCGGCCAACGCCAAATAACGTGTCTGACGTTCCACAACTGCTCGGTATGACTAATCATCTGGTAAAATTTACACCAGTTTTGACTTCATAAACAGTGCCGTTACTTCACTTGCTTTTGAAGAGGTCTGAGTGGACGTGGGGACCAGCCCAAGTGCAAATGCTGCCGTACCTTAAAAACGTTATCTGTCCGGCGGGCGTCATGGCTAACGATAATTCAAAGTACCCTACGATTCTTTACGCCGATGCATCATTAGCTTTGGGGGCGGTATTGATGCAAGTTAAATCAGCCAACGAAAAACGACCCATTGCCTTTGCACCACGCTTGGTGACGCCTGCCGAAACCAGATATTTACAGATTGAAAAATAAGCACTAGCAATGACGTAAGCGGCCGAACGTTTCAAAGGGTATTGTTATGATCAGCCCCCGTGTCTGGCACCGCTTGGACGCGTGGAAGTATTTTGACTTTGCCACGCTTCCTGAGGGCCTAGAAAATAACAGCATAGCAAATTCTTTAGGAGCGCCCGCTCGCTTCAAGCCCTTTGGGCCCACACGGCCGATTTATTACATGGAATGGGCTGTTTTACTGTGTGGGCTGCCTAGAAAGACTGTTTTCCTCTTCATTGCTGAAATAGTTGGAATGCACCTGACAATGAGCCGAGTGCCGGAGAATTATCTTCGGGGAAGTTTCTCGCATTCCTAGGGTCTTTCGAGACTTCATTTCCTCAGCACCACGAACTCTCCGGCAGCAATGCCTCCTTTTTTTACATTTTTTGAGGTTGTTATGACCACATTTCAAGAAATGCACAACACTGGTTAGACCCATAGCCATAGGCTAGTAAGGGGTCTAACGGGAGTAAGTATACAAGCAGAATACAATTTGTATGTAAGAAAAAAATCAAAACATCAGAAAACGTTGATTTTTTCAACAAATGAACAAAAATACAAGAAGATACACATTGTTGCACTTTGTTCATATTTAATGAAATAATCAAGTATAGACAAAACATTAAACTATGTGTAAGGCTTAGTACATGGTCATTACTATTGATCTACATGTAGCAAATATTTTTTGAGTGCGCTCGGAAAACCCTAGAATCTTTAATCTGAAGTGGTATGTTATGCCACACTTTAGTGTAGTAAGCGTTCACCATACACGTTTTTAGTGGGTAGAAGATTAAAATTCCGCAATGTCATGCATCTAGTGACGCGGGACGAGGAAGAAAAGATAGATATATCGAAAGGTACACTGTGTGCAATAACATTGTTGATGGTGACTGCGGTTTTATGCTGCCGTATGTAATCAAAAGGTAGAATATCCAACTTGTGAAACAAAGACTCAGTGGGTTCATTATATGCCGCATAATCTATAATTCTAAGTGCACGCTTTTGTAATATCTGGATAGGATCAAGGTAAGTTTTAAAGGTCCATCCCTATGAGTCTAAGCAGTACGATAGATGACTATGAACAAACAGAAAATAAAGGACTCTGAGAAATATAAGTCAACCTTGATAAGTCAACCTTGAACCTAGCCAACCGGATGGGTCAATTCTGCACGAGGCGAGAGAGTTCCAGGTAATCACACCATGCCAGTGATACCATGCTGTCACTTAGCGTATTGTGTGTACTTCCCCATCCCTGTGGGAAAAACTGTGCGTGCCTTTCCCCCTTTCCTGGGAGGGGTTTGTTGCTTTGCCTCTTTGTGAGCGCAGTGGAAGATGGTGATCCCATCGAGGGCCCTAGACTTAATTGTGTTCCCTCGAAGAGAATCTTGAGAAGACAGAGGGTATAAAACTCAAGCGCAGAGATGTTTGAATGTACTTTTTTTTTCCTTTTTGTCACGTAGTATCACGCTACCTAATCATGTAAATACTGTAAACAAACGTTCCAGTTTTCAGCTTCATCTCCTTGGTTCGTCTTCCCTTGACCCTAGGATGGCTCCGGGTCACGACGAAGATCCCCAGTCGCAACAGTGGATAGCAGCGGGCAGATGGTCTGCGCAGGAATTCGACTCAGGCTTGGTGAGTGCACGACCTTTTCTCCGTGAGAGTTGCCAGGCTTAACGTGGCTCTTTCTAGTAACAAATTTGTCGGAAGCCTGTTCACGGTAACCTTGCTTCAACACTATTCCTTGAGAAACTGGTCAGCAAAGCACTAGCAGCCAGGCTTGGAAAGTTGTGCGAATCAGACCTAGACGCCAAAGCAGGAAATTAGAGATTGATGGTAAAAAATACCCAATGAAGGCGGAAGTCTTCGAGGCAATAGAGACAAGTGACAGAGATGACGAGGAGATCGTGGAGCTGAAGGAGGTCGGTCATTAAGGAAATCCGTAAAGGAGAAACAAGCATAAAGTAGAGGCCCCAAATCGAAACGCTGGTTGGTTTGTGGTTTGCCAGAGCTTAGCCCAAGCAAGGAGGTCACCATAGACTTGACGAGATACAAGAGATAGTCTGTTGGAGTTGTTTTAAGAGCTCGACATAGAAGTAAATGATGATACGCCTGAATCTAAAATCCGTAAAATAATCATTGAAAGTGAACATCAAGATATTGAATACTACAGGAACTTTATTCTTACCGACCAGCAAGACAGCGAACAAGAATTAGAGGAAGCAAAAAGCGAAGAATGAAAGAAAACGAAAAAGAGAGAAAGTCGGAGAAAAGAAATTGAAGAAAGCAAAGAGGAAGCAAGAGGAGAAACCACAGAGAGAAAAAACAGCGAAAAGATGAATTAGAGGAAGAAAAAAAGGAAGGAAGAACTTGAAGAAGGAATGCAAGCGTTATGCCTAGTTCACACTGAAACATCCGCTTTCTACAGCGACCGAAATTCCCCTGCCGCCGAAATGCAGCGTCGTTCGCACTGGACGCGCCCCGCGCCGCCGAATATGCCATCTACTGCGGGGCGAACGCGGGATGGACGCGCTGTTACCCGGTTGTTGTCGCGGCTCGCAAACGCTACTACGCTATCTGGTGGTGTATACTTCGACGATTCTCGTACGCAAGAAGCAAGAAAAGACAGTACTGCTTACTTTGCTGGCAAGTGGCTGTCTTGTAATGCACGAAGAGCAGAAAAACCACCGACGCCAGCGGCGTTGGTGGGTTCGTTTTGCTCTGCAAGACCGCAACAAGCTCGGTCACGCCAACAGCAAGCTCGGTCACCTCTTTCACGAAATACGGAGGCGAAGTAGGCACAAAGTAGGTTAAAGTCCCGTTGGTTTCAACATTCAGTTACGTGCACTGCGGTATAAAAAGTGAGTAGGGCTTGGTGCCATTTTTCAAAATTTTTTGACTAGCGCTCCTATTGGTCCGCGGTGACCGATTCGGCGGCAGACGCCGCAAAAATCGGTCCGAGAGCGATCGGCACGGAGAGGGCCCTTTCGGCGGATCTCGCCGCC